AAAGAAACCAGGCACTCCAGGACAGAAAATGCACAATGCCATTACCAGAAATCCAAGCACAGGCACCATTATCTGTGGTGAGAGAAGTACCCCTCCCTGGGGCATCGAGGCTGGCAAAGGGCCCCAGGTACCTATAAGGAAGACAAGAAATGTTCGTTTGGTATCTGAGCGTGGCTGGAGGTTACATGGGTGACTGCACATGCAAACACTCATTGAGTTGCACCTCAAGATTAATACACTTTATATTATACTTCAAAAGTATTCATGCTGCTCACTATTCACCATAGCAAAGAGATGGAAACAACCGAAGTACCTATCAACAAAGGAATGGATAACCAAACGGTGGTACATACGCACAATGGAATACCATGCAACATTAAAGAAGAATGTAGAATCTGTGAAACACTGCATAACATGGATGAGCTTGGAGGTCAGTCAGCTGAGTGAAATAAGTCAATCACAGAAGGACAAATATTGTATTAGCCCACTACTGTAAAAAGTCAAGGAAATACACAAACAGCAGAAGAAAAACTAGATGAATGGAACCTTCTAAAATCAAATTTGTGTGTGCTTCCAAAGACTTCTCCAAAAGAGTCAAAAGAGAACCCATAGATTGGGAAAAAATATTTGGCAATGATATATCCGACAAGGGACTTATCTCTCAAATTTATAGAAAACTCCAACACCTCAACAACAAAAAGAGAAATAATCTAATTAAAAAATGAGCAGAAGACATGTATAGACACATCACCAAAGAGGCTATTCAGGTGGCCAACAAACATATGAAGAAATGCTCAAAATCATTAGCTATTAGAGAGATGCAAATCAAAACAACAATGAGATACCATCTTGCCCCAGCACTAGTAGCAAAGTTCAACAAGACAGAAAATAACAAACGCTGGTGAGAATGTGTAGAGTTTGGGACTCTCATACACTGCTGGTGAGACTGTAAATTGATACAACCACTGTGGAAAGCAGCATGGTGATTCCTTAAAAAGCTGGGATTAGAAATACCATTTGACCTAGCAATTCCATTACTAAGTATATATCCTAAAGAAGTGAGAACCATGACAAGAACAGATATATGCACACTGATACTCATCACAGCACTATTTACAATAGCCAAAAGATGGAAACAACCTACATGCCCATCAACAGAAGAATGGATAACTAAACTAGGGTACATATACACAATGGTATGCAACCTTTAAGAACAACGTAGAATCTGCAAAACACCACATAACATGGATGAACTTGGAAGACATCATGCTGAGTGAAATAAGTCAATCACAAAAGGACAAATATTGTATTAATCCGTTATTGTAAAAAGTCAAGGAAAGGTTTATGTATGGAAGGAAATTTTCTCTGTTGGTTACCAGGGATGGGAGAGGAGGGAGGGAACACTGTTAGACAGGTAGAGATAAATAGTGATTTAGGTGAAGAGAACGACAATATACCAAATGTGAGTGATCAACACGGTGGCATTGAGGAAGAGGAAAACAGAGGTGCATGGGAGGTGCAGACAACAAAGATGAACCCTTTTGCACATACAGTAGTACTGCACTGTCAGTGAAAGCAAACATGGATATATGGGTGGATAGATGGGTGGACAGGCTGAAGTATTAGGTATGTATATGCAGGTGGGGAATGTGCTTAAGACCATGTATAGGATGGGCAATGTTTCTACAAGTGTATCTGTATGTTCTGTAAGAATTCTCAGGTACATAGTAAAGCTGACAAGGGACAAGGTTGTAGTCACTTCTTATCCACAGCCAGCTACTCAGAGGGAATGAGTAGCTGGACCTGTGGGCTGGGGACCATAGTCACAGGGGACATCAAGCTCAATTGGCATAACGTACTACACAAAACATTGTTCCGCACCCTACTTTTGGTGAGTAGTGACTGGGACCTTAAAAGTTTGCAAGCAGGCATCTAGATGCAATGATGGGTCTCTCCTCATCCAGAGCAAAGAACAATGAAGATAATCAAAGATTCATGGCAACAATTAGTCTAAGCGACTGGTACACCATGTGATCCTCAGTCTATACAACTATGAGACCAGAACTAGATGGTGCCTGGCTACCACTGTCAACCACTCGGAGAGGGGTCTCTGTAGGAAATCCTGAATAGAGTGGGAGAACAATGTGGAACAAAACTCAAAATCATTGGGGACGGGGGAAAGACCAGTTTTGCTGGTCTGATAGAGCCTGATGGAACCACTGAGACTATGGTGCCCTTCAGATTTAGAATTGAACCCACACCTGTGGCTTCCAGCCAAACAAAAGACAGGCATAGGAGCTGAACATTTACTTTACGTAGATACACTCCTTGGAGAGAACAATCATGGGAGAATAGAAAAGCTGTGTATGCACAAGGAGACAGCTCAGGGGGCAGGAGTGTATGGAGGGAAGGACACAGGGAAGAGGTAACTATGGGGAGGAAGTGGGAGGGAAGCTGTTGCATTGTGGTAAATTATAGTCAATGTCACGAGATAAAGCGTATGGAAAGTGAATTTGCTCTCTAAATTTCACCCAAATCACAACAACAACAACAAAGTCAAGGAAAAGTTTATATATGGAAGGGAACTTTTTTAGTCAGTAACTGGGGATGGGATGTGAGTGAAGGGGAGGAAAAACTGCTAAATAGGTAAGAGACAAGTATTGACTTGGGTGAAGGGAAAGTCAATATATCAAAAGTGAGTGCCCAACAGAATAAAACTAAGGAAAAACAAGACAGAGAGATGCACTAGAGGTACCAACAGCAAAGATAAACACTCTTACACATACAATGCTGCATTATCAGTGATAACAAACACTAATCTATGGGTAGATACATAGGCCGGCTGAATGATCAGATTTATCTAGGCAAAAGGGAATATACCCATGACCATATATAAGGTTTGCAAACAGTATTTCTACAAACGTATTTGCATGTGCTCTAAGAATGTCCATATAAATAGAACTAACAGGAACAAAGTTACCATAACTCTTACCCAGAGCCATCCACCCTGAGGGAGAGAGTTGCTGGACCTGTGGGCTCAGGGCCATGGTTTCATGGGACATCAAGCTCAACTGGTATAATATATTACACAAAAACATTTTCTAAATCCTACTTTGGTGAGTAGTAACTGGGGTCTTAAAAAAGCTTGTAAGAGACCATCTACATACAACAATTGGTCTTTCTTTGTCTGGCATAAAGAAGAATGAAAATAACCAAAGACACTTGGAAACCATGAGTCCAAGGGACAAGTGATCCATGTGAATGTCAGCTACATGACCATGAGACCAGAAGAACTAGATGGTGCCTGGCTACCACTGTCAACCACTCAGAAAGGTGTAAGTGCAGGAGATCCTGGATGGAGTGGGAGAAAAATGAGGAACAAAACTCAAATTCATAAAAAAGACCAGGCTTACTAGTCTGACAGAGACTGGTGAAACCCCGAGACTATGGCCCTTCTGGAAATGAACTCACCCCCATGGCTTCTAGACAAACAAGGGACAGGCATATAAGATGAGTATTTACACCAAGGAGGTACACTCCTTAAAACAATCAATCGTGGGAGATCAGAAGGGCAGTATTTGCATAGGGAGACAGCTCAGAGGCAGGAATGCATAGGAAAGAAGGACACAGGGAAAAGGTAACCACAGAGAAGTGGGAAGAGAGCTGTTGCATTGTGGGCATTGCAGTCAATGTCATGTAACAAAATGTGTATCAACTGTTGCATGGGAAATGAATTTGCTCTGTAAACTTTTATCCAAATCACAATTAAAAAAACAAAAAAAGTCACAAAAGGAAAAATACATACATATTCTTGCTGCTTTACAATAGCTATTCAATAGCCATCGAATGGTATTATTGTAAGATGTGTGAGATAATTATAGATTCTTCATTAAAACACACACAAACTCAAATCATCTAGTGAAACACAAATACTGTCAACTTGCTCTACAAGTACACCTTTGCAACAAATAATCAACCACACTTTTCTCTCAAATATAACACCTAACACTACAGGCTATCTGTGAGGCAGAAGCCAGTCGATGGCATCAGCATCGGGTGTTTAACACCTGCGCTGGTCAATAAATATCATCAGCTAAGTGAATTTCACAGGTAATGCTACCGTTTATGTTTCCCAAGCCCTGACAAATGTATGTGTATGTGTGCAAAAAAAAAAAAAAAAAACACTACTGTTGAGCTGATTCTGACTGGTAGTGGTCCTACAGGACAGAGTGGAACTGCCCCACAGGGTCTCCAAGGCTGTCAATCTTTACAGCAGGAAAGCCCACACCAAACCCACTGCCATGGAGTGGATTCTGACCCACAGCGCCCCTAGAGGACAGAGGAGAACTGCCCCTGAGGGTTTCTAAGGCTGTCCATCTTTACAGAAGCAGATTGCCACATCTTTCTCCTGCTCAGTGGCTGGGAGATTTGAACTGCTGACCTTTTGGTCAGTAGCCCAATGCTTTAAGCCCTACACCACCGTAATTCCTCAATCAAATATACTCAAGAGATGCAACATTACGCTCTCATCCAATGAAAGACTTTGTTCAGATCTCTGCCCAATGAATTACTCTGTTCATCTCCAAGAACAAGAAACACAGACTTGGCATTAAACCATCACCAAAGAAATCCAGGCACTATGCAGGGTGAAGGCCACCCCACTTTCCTCTTCTGCCTGTCACTCTTGCACTGGGGCAAGGACTGCATTGGAGACAGGGCGCACGTACAGTCCTCAGGGCAGGAACAATGAGCTAAGATCACCTGGTCCAACCTCACTGTGGTGAGCACACCTGGCTGGGCTCCCGCCTGGGCAGCTCTCCGACCGCTGTGTGACCAACCAGAGAAGCCAAGGCGGCTATGCAGGAGAAATGGGGAAGCAGGAGAGACACCGGTCCACCCCACGAGGAGCATGAGTAAGTGCTGTGTCACAGGTGGTAGGGGTGCCTCAAACCATCACCAGAAATGATCAAAGGAAAGGCCAAAGGAGCCTGCAAGTTTACCTCGCTATTGTGTCCACGCAGGTTGAAGTTTATCCTCTGGGGAGTATTTCTGTCCCTGCGGCAGTGGCTGGAGGTGAAGGTGACACCGACGACGCCCCGCCCGTTGCCCGTGGCCAGCCAGCCCTCCTCGTAGTAGCGCCTCCTGCACACAGGCTTCTCCTTCTCACTTTTGGGGACGCGCCCTTTCCACGACAGGCAGAGGATGTTCGAGTCGCTGCAAAGGACAGGCCCATGTTCCACCACTGCATACATACTTCGTTTCTGATGAACTCTTACTCAGAAAGCAACATCTGATGCCGCAAAACGGAATCCAGTTCCTCTCACTGAATCGCTTATTTTTGGAGTGGCTTGTGCTGCTCCCTCTTCCCCTTCTTTAATTAAGGCTGACCTGGACCTAATCAGAAGGTCAGCACTTTATAAAGATCCACCAAATGCATAGTGAGAAAAAAACCTCTAAAAAAGATGATGGCAGTCTGTTAGGAAAAAGCAGTGCTTAAAAAAACCATCGGGTCCGAGTTTGTTCTCAGGTCGTTGGAGAAGAGCGCACAGACCCTTCGGGTAAAGAGCGTCATTCAAGGTGGGGGTCGGATTTGTCTTCTCCGTGTTCCACGTGCTGCTTCTTAATCAGCCTGAGGTTCCAGTTTAGTGTAATCGGATTCCAGGGACAAAGGGTTGCAAATATATAGATTTCAAGTAACTTAAGGCTTTATGACTCCCTCTGGCTGGGACGCTCTCTTCCAGAGTTCAGACGCAGGTGCTCCTGCGGCCACCACCGGCATGTTTCCGCAACTCGACAGAGACCTGCTGCTAAAGCTGAAGAAGATTTGCATAAAGGGAAAGAAGGCACCCAAACCGTGCAGAGCAGGCGAGTTTGTGCAAACAGCAGTCCAAGGGTCAGGAAGGGAAGAAGACTCCTTTGCTGCCACTGTTCAGAACCAGGGGACCCCCTGGACCCCCTGGCTTTCCCGATCCAGAGCCAGGTCTGGCATCACGGCAAGTGGCTATGACCTGCAGGCAGGCCGTGCTCTGTCCGCCCGCTGCCCCGTCGCTGGCTTGCTTCTCTGTGCCATCGAGGCTGGGAAGGCAGTCCCTCCCCAGGCAGCGTCAGAAAGGTTCTGTACCTTTGAAAGTGGCAAAAGCACGTGTCTCAGACAGCTCTGGAATCCTTCTGCTTTGGCTGCACCCAACTCAAGGTTCTGTTTTCTTCCCTGGCTCCTTCCTCCCTCACCGCGTCACTTTGCCCCTTTCCCACTCCTGAAGATCACGTATTTCTCCATCCTGATGAAAACACTAATCTCGGTATTAAGTCCATCAAGCAATCTGTCTGTCACACACAGATCTTCTTGGACTGAACCAGAAAGATAATCCCTTAAAACAAAAACATGGGCAAGAGTCCGCGTCTTCCCCCACAGCTTCCCGCAAGAGTTATGCTTTGCTGACGGATGCTCCTGTTCACATGGAAACTGTTACCACATGCCACACGGATAGTCCAGGGAAAAGGAGACTCTGCTTGGATTTCCCTTGACAGCTATTTTTGCAATTATCAGTTTCAATTGCTACTGTAAGATATTATCCTATAGATGCAGGAAAGGAAAGGGGAAATAATAAATTAAAATGTCTCAAGTACGGTTAACTAAAAAAGGCAAAGGAATTAGTCCACTGTTCAAATGTGTCCCATCATACCTGAACTTGCCTCCCTCCAGCCATCACCACACAACAATAGTCACTTTTCAAAGCAGGACTTTAACGTCTGTCCAAGTCGCCAAATCCACTGAAAAGCAAAGTGCCGGCCCACTGCATGATGCTGCCTGCAACACTGAGCTCGTGCTTCCCCACCGTCCCCTCCACCCAGGGCGCCTTCTTTAAGGTGGACAGGTATTCTGGAGGCTTGAGCTGTGCGAATTTTTTTTTCTTCTTTTTGCAAACTTTCTTTACCCGTGAAGACCATATGGGAAGCTGGCTGCTAGTGGTGGCCCTCTCTCCCCGGGCTCCTGAGCCCAGTGGTGTTGGGCTGTTCCATGTGATTCTTAGATTAACTTTCATCGGTTGTGGAACGCTCGCGTGTGCCCAGGGTGAGCCTGTCTTCTCGTGTACGTGTGCGTGCAGAGGACGAAGAGCTTCTGTAGACCTGCACACACGCTTCAGCTGGCCCGGGAAGTGGCTGTTGTCATTTCAGGAACCTCTGGCTGATCGCAATGTGAAGGCCCTGGTATCCCGCAAACCTGTAAAACAGAAAGTATAGAGAATGAAAGAACTGGAAAAAAAAGCTGAGGAGCAACGGTTCGAGCAGAATAATGAATAATCACCGTAATAGAAATTGGAGACCAATCAAATGGAGCTCCTGATGCTACTGACAGGTGAAATTTAAGTAGGAAGAGGATACCTCACACCCATTTACGGACAACACGCAGAGTCTGAACACCGTGTTCCGTGTGTTGCGGTTTTTCGGCGGCTGGCATGTTGGGCTGAGATGACTCCTCTGCTCTTCTGCACGGGGCTGTGCTGCCTAAACTCTGGGTTCTACAAGTGTGACTCCCCTCCGGGTCTGTCCTCAGAGTTTCAGCAGGTGATTTCAGAAGAGCCTAAGAGGCTAGGAAGTTGCTTGCCTGAATGGATGTCTTCACCATCAGTAAAGGTGACTGAAGACGCAGGGCACTGAGGGCTTTTCACAACCCTCTCTGTCCCTGGGGCTGTCTGTCACATGGCAAAGCACACCTGTGTCCTCAGCTCCCATAAGTCCTCAACTAGCAGCGAAGTCCCATAGAACTGGTTCCAGCAAATCCATCCTAGCTGCACATCACCTCCCACGATAAACGCCGTCTTATAACTGCCCACACTCATCCCCTCACAGGTCCCCCTCGGAGTGACCTTTCAAAAATGCAAGTAAGGGAAACAGTGTTGACTATGCCCAGTAGTATCCCTCCCAGTCCTGAGGGCCAGCTTCAACGGACTGGTCAGCTGCCCCAGAAGACCTGACACTAGGGGCTAGGGGGAGACATCTGCAACCCTAAAATACTGCTAATCCTGCTGAGATGCCCGTGCTCCTGTCTGGACGCCAGCGTTGAGAACCTCTGGCCCAGGGGATTAAGTTCCAGCAAGACACTGATGATCTGCCTCCAACCTGCCCCCTGCCCTTCGACTCCACCATTGCAGGCCTCGTTTGGGTTTGGCCCACAGTCTCCTGCCGCAGCCTCCACATCCTGGGTTCCCACAGTCTCTTCTGGCCACTCCTGGTCCCCCAAAGCACTATGCTCTCGGCTCTGTACCTCACTTCACTCCTGCTGCACCCTCTACCAAGCCAACCCCCAACTCCTCCTTTGGAATCAAACTCAACAGCACCTCTACAGTGAAGCCCCTAAAGCACATGGTACTAACTTCCATAACCATACACACTGACTGCATGTTCATTCTCCTCTCTCCAAACATAAGCTCCTAAAAGTTTTTCTCACTTCCCACAACGCTCAGCATATGCTAAACCAGTTACCGTCAAGTCAGTTCTGACCGATGGCGACCTCATGTGTGTCACAGTAGTAACGTGTCCCATAAGGTTTTCAGTAGCTGTTTTTCAGAAGGAGATCACCAGGCTTTTCCTCCGCAGCACCGCTGTTTGGGTTCAAAGTGCCAACCCTTCAGTTAGCTGCTGATCACAAACCACTTACACCACCCAGGGGCCTTGGCACAGACTAGACACTCAGGAAAAGTTTGTGGAGAGAGGAAGGCAGAGCAAGGCAGCAGCTACACAAAATGTTACTGATTCAGTCCTATCACACAGAGGGATAGATACAGACAGGGAAAGCCGAAGAAATTCCCTTAGGATGGGACAAGTGCTAAAAAACAATCATATCAACACCATTGTCCCTCCTCCTGAAAATGCTAATACCGCTATATGCTATTACTATGTTTGTCCCAAAGGAATGCTGGTGGCACTGTGGTTAAAGCCAAAAGGTCAGTGGTTCAAACCCACTAGCTACTCTGCAGGAGAGAGATGAGTTAGTCTACTTCCATAAAGATTTACAGCCTAGGAAATCCTCTGTGACACCTCGACTCAAGTCTCATAGGTTTGCTATGAGTCTGAATCAATTTGATGGCAGTGGATTGGGTTGGATTTTGCTATGTTAGTCCTAGTAGTCCTGATGGCACAGTGCTTAAAGGCTCAGCTGCTAAAGGGAAGGTCGGCAGTTCGAACCTACCAGTCGCTTTGCTAGAGAAAGATGTGGCAATTTGCTTCCAGAAAGATTGACAGCCTTGGAAACTCTATGGGACAGTCCTATTCTGCCCTAAAGGGTAGCCATGAATTGAGCTGAAGACAAAGGATTTTTGGTTTGATGTTAGTCTCTCACTCTGGCTTTGGGGCAGCAACCCAGATGGGAAAAGCAGAGTGAATTCTCAAGACCCAGTTCTGTATCCTGCAGTTCAAACTATTCAAGAGCATAAGCCGTGATTACCCAATGAAATGCAGTGACATAAATGAGCAGTGCCCCGAAACCTTCCCAGAGTCTACAGGGTCAAAACGATTTTCCAAACAGGACCAAGACCTGATGACCTTCTTCACTATGTTGACATTTGTATCAATGGTGCAAAAGCAACACTGGATTAAGCTGCCGGTTCTTTAACAAGAATCAAGGCAGTGGCACCGAGCTGTATTAGTCAGTCATCACTGCATTAAAAATAATAATAATAAAGCCAGCTGCCATAAGAATGTCCTTAATGCAGCAGTAAAACTTAGCAAGTTGACAGAATCACAGCACTGTGTGTGACAAGATGAAAAGTGCACATGAGCATGGGTGCTGGCTGCAGGTGTGCACTGACCTCTCCAGGACAACCCCTTGGGCACTGGCAACAGGCGTGCACTGGCCTCCCAGGAGAAGCCCTTGGGTGCTGACTGCAGGCGTGCACTGGTCTCCCCAAGAGAAGCCCTTGGGCTACAATGCAAGTTCAAGTTGAACTACTTGCTTCTTTCATGGAACGCCATGCATACTAGAAAGAATGACAGACCAATTATGTTATTCAGACTTGGGATTCAGCAGACATCTTCTTGAACATGAACTAAGTGAGCCTATCACTTCAAGGAAAACAATGACAGTATTTGTTGTCAATGACAAATGCTGAACTTTTGAGTTAAAAATTGTGGGAAAACTAGCATCTGTCACAGTGAACTTAACAGCTCCTCAATATGTAAGGGCATTTATCATGTGATTAGTGGTGAAAATAATAAATGCGAATTTTTATACTGTATTTCATATTTCATTATG